GGAAGGAAGGAAGGAAGGAAGGAAGGAAGGAAGGAAGGAAGGAAGGAAGGAAGATGAGATCCAGAAGCAAAGAGACGTCAATTTCATGGAGAAAATAAAAAGGGTGTGCTCAGTTATGAAACTACTCGAAAGAAACAGCTTCCCCAAAGGGTGAGCAAGATGCCATTGACGCAAGCTCTGCATCCAAAATTCTGATCATTTATTGAGAATGAGGTATTACCACCCATGAATTCTCAAAAAAAGCATGCTAAGGCTGCAGGTGAGCAGAGCATAGTGGGGGTTATTTTTTGACGGGCAGATTGTTCTGAGCAAAGGGAAAGAAAGAAGGGCTCCTACCACCTATACAGACACACCCCCTCCATTCTCTTGTCTCCCTTACAGCAGCCTGCATTCAAATGCTAGGGTGTGATCAGCATCCCAAACCTGCATGCCAGTGAGTCAGGGAGTTCTCCCGGGGGAAGAACATTTCTGCTGAGACACAAAAGGCTGCACCAGACAACTGCACTAGCCAAGAGTGCCTATGTGTGTGTGTGTGTTTTAACTCCCACCCTTCCTTCTCTATTTACCTGCAACAGCTCAGGCATGGAATGTAAGGGAAGCACAATGCATCAACACATCAAAGGGCTTTGTTCTCCAATGCCTTCAGTGTGGTTACACACACACACACAAACCCCTGCCAGAACCCAGTTCTTTTCCCCACAGCTGACTATTTCAATGAAAGAAAAATGTGAAGTGTGTGGGGGGGGGAGTTGCGTATTTATTTACACATATATTTGTGTGCTCAGTCTGTTGTGTTTCCTTATGCCTAATGCTCCCTACCAATACACACACACACACACACACAGAGAGAGAGAGAGAGAGAGAGAGAGAGATCCTTTTCCAGAGTTTCCTTCTGCAGGGCTTTTGTTTCTGAGGCTCTCTGAAAGGGATGCTTGACACCCTAGAATGAAATCAGAAAACTAAGCCTCACCTTAGTTCAAACGAATAAGGGCGCCACCACCTTCAAACTGTTTCCATCTGTTCCAAAAGGAGACAAATGCTAGTATCCTTAACCAAAGATTTCTTTTGTTTGTTGGCTGACAACATTCATCAGAGGTAAAGCTGTCACCGGCTATTTACTAGGCTCTCTCTCTGGTGTATTGAAAATCTGCTCACCCTCCTTCACCCCTCCCCATTTTTCTGAAATTTCCATCCTTGAACAAAAGACGAAGGTGGGGTGGCACTGAGATAAAGAAGCCATGGCATGATCATGCTTCTGTTTTGGGGGAAGGAGCGAAGAAACACAAATTTTGAAAGGTTCTGTTTTCAAGTTAGAGGTGAAAAATCATCTTGGTGAAGAGAGGGAAATGCTGCCGTTCCATAAATATTAAACAGTCATAGGAGTGCAGGGATGACAGTATCGTGTATCTGTGGCTGCATCTTTTATTTATTTGTATTTACAACTTGAAGCAAACCACCAGCAGCCCAACCACAACGAATTTCATCCAGCGTGAAGGTTAAAAACGCCAGTTCCCCGTTTTACCTTCCACTATTCAGCCATCAGCATTACCATCGGTCTAGTCCCACAGGGGAACAGATCTTTTCCGTGCAGCTTTCCCCTTCATCTTGAACATCATCTAAAACGCCAGAACGATTTCCAGAGAGCGTTTTCCGACCGTCGCCGGAAAGGAACCTGCTGTCCAGTAACGACCAGGTCACCCGGAGGAAAGTTACCTGCAGAGGCTGATGAACGGCTGTTGCCGTTTGCCTTTTCCACACCCGCGGAGACAATCTTAAATATAGAGATCACCTCCTAACGACCTGATTATTAGAACCGGCGAGTCAAGGCGGACCTCCTCTGTCTACCTGAGGACGCTTCTCTCTCTCTACACACACCTGCTGGAAGGACATCGGATGCGGCCAAGCAGCTCTCCGCGGCGTGGAAAGGGGGGCTGATGGGGAACGGCGGACAGACAGACAACCAGACAGATATTAAAAAAAAAAAAAACCCAACCCCAACCCCAACCCTTGTCTGGGTTTCTGCCAGGCGATGGCGGAGGGACCGGCAACCGCCAGGATGCTGCGTTGCAGAAGGCGCTTGAGCAGAAGGCGCTCGGAGGAAGCCTCCTGCCGGACACCTGTGAGAAAGGAAGAAGCCCTTACCCGGCGCGCTGTGCCTGGCGTCGCTCCTGCCGATGCAACAACCTGCAGGGAAACTGCAGACAGAAAAACCTGTCGCTGCTGCAGCCGCCGCGGAGCGCGCCCACCGCCTGCGCCACCGCCGCCTGGGAGCAGCAGCTGT